GTAGGGGAGGGGGACTCGGGACACTTTCCTGTAGAGGTAGGGTTGCATCGGGGATCAACCTTTAGCCCGTTTCTATTTGCCCTGGTGATGGATGAGTTGACGCGACACATTCAAGGGGAGGTACCTTGGTGCATGTTATTTGCAGCTGATACAGTTCTGATTGACGAGATACGAGGCGGTGTTAACGCTATGCTGGAGGTATGGAGGCAGACCCTAGAGTCTAAAGGTTTCAAGTTGTGTCGGACTAAAATAGAATACTTGGAGTGCAGGTTTAGTGACGTGACTCAGGAGGATAACATTGAAGAGAGGCTGGACACACAAGTTATACCCAAGAGAGATAATTTTAAGTATCTTGAGTCTATAATCTAAGAAAATGGGGAGATTGACGAGAATGTCACATATCTATTGGAGCGCGTTAAATGAAGTGGAGGCAGGCATCCGAAATTTTGTGCGACAAGAATATACCACTAAGACTCAAATATAAGTTTTACAGAGTAGGGGTTAAACTGACCATGTTGTATGGGGTGGAGTGCTGGGCAGTCAAGAACTCTCATGTTCAAAAGTTAAAAGTTGCGAAAATAAGGATGTTGAGATTGATGTGTGGCCATAATAGGAGGGATATGATTATGAATGAAGAGATCCGAGATAAGATGGGAGTGTCCTATGTGATAGACAAGATGCGAAGAGGAGATGGTTGAGATGGTTCGCACACGTGAAGAGGAGAGGCACAGATGCCTCAGCGAGGAGGTGTGAAAGGTTGGCTCTAGCGAGTTAAAGGAGAGGTAGAGGTAGGTAGAAGAAATATTGGGGAGAGGTGATCAGACATGATATGGCACATCTTCAGCTTACCAAGGACATGACCCTTGATATGAGGATGTGGAGGTCGAGGATTAAGGTTGTAGGCTAGAAAGTAGCCTGGCGTCTTTCCTTTTCAAACTTGTACTTCTTTCCATATTTGTAGTACTAGCCTTATCCTCGTTTTCACTTTTTTAGATCAATATTATTACCTGATGTTTTCTTTATTTCCTTCTTTATTTTCTTTGACTGTTGTTACTATCTCGTTTTTCATAGTTCTTAACTACTGTATTTTTGCTTTATTGAGTCGAGGGTCTTTCAGAACAACCTCTCTATATTCACAAGGTAAGGGTTAAGGTTTGTGCACATAACAACCTCCTTATATCCCCAAACCCTATTAGTGGGAATACACCGAAAAAATGTGTGCTTTTTGTGTATAAATATGTGTCTTATTTTTCCTTTTTCCTTTATTTTCCTAGAAAAGGAACTAACTTGCCTTTGAGTACTTGCCTTATCACATGGGCCCAAGGCTTTTACAAGCCCCCCCAAAACCCTGAAGAAAAGTAGGTATCACAGTGACTCTACTTGGGCAGGGAGGCAGAACTTTGTTACCCTTTTGCTTGGAAGATGCGTCCATTGATTGTAACTTCCCAAGGATTTGAATTGTTTTAAATGACCACATCTTCCATAATCTCACATTATTCATGACCATAAGAAATTTCTTGGATATGCTGCTTGTGTGTAAGACAATAACATGTTTAGACACAAGAAACCATTCACCCTTTTATTTCAATTGTCCTAATCTTTTGCATGATTCAAGAATGTACATTGTTGGGAAAGAGAAGTAAGAGAAATTGCTTCGAAAATGTAAAAAAGGAAATGCAAAGGAAAGTCGGCATATTAGAAGGTATTAATATGAACACGTAAAAGACGGGGTCAACAAAGATGGTTCTCTAAATTATCCTCTCAATTAGCTTGCTTTTTAGCAATGATCAAATGACGGGGGAAAAAAATCTTTTGGTGCCTTCTTGCTCTATAAATTCCTCCACCTTTTTAGAGTCTATTTGGAAAGCCACCTAGGAATTGAATTTGGGTTTAATTGGGTGTAATTACAAAGTTTGGCATATTTGTTTGACCAAGTAATTATTTAGTCAACATGAAATTAAGTGTAATTGGAGGTGTAATTACACTCTCCAATTCTCAGGGGAGGTGAGAATTGGTGATAATTATACTATGTAATTACAAGGTTGCTTTTTAGTTTCTTTCCTTTTTGTTTTTATTTTAATTTATTTTCTTTATAACTTTTTATTTCTATTTTTTACATTTAATTTTTAATTTTAAAATATATTTTTCTTTGTACATTATTTATCTTTTATTTCTCTATCTTTACTACTTGTGATTCCATGTAATTGCTTATATTTTATTTTTTATTTATTTTATTATTCTATTTTTTGAAACTACACCTCCTAATATTAGAAATAATGAGTCATTAACAAACTTGACATATAATGAGTGATGCAATTAAAGTATAATTTTATTGTTGAATGTGGTTATAAACTTATTATATTTTCTAATTTTAAGTTGTAGTGGAACTTAATATTATTATGTTGCAATTTGACGTATGTTAAACAATTTTTTTTTTTGAATTTTAAAATTGTGTTATATTCATGGTTCCAATTTATTTGTTTTAGTAGTATTGGTTCACATTGCATGTTGTTCATTTTTTAGTTAGAATTAATAGACTAATTTTGTCAAACATTTGAATAATGTTATGACATTATATTTATAAATATTNAAAATATACATTTTAAATACCAAATATAATATCATTTATATTTATAAAAATTTATAGGCATATATTTAGTATATTAACTTTTAAGTTTTAATAATTATTTTATTTAAAATTTAATTTAACTGTGTAATTACACTTGTGCAACCAAACAGTAAACTTGTAATTACACTATGACAAGTAAACAAGTCGTCGTAATTACACAACTGTTACACCAATTCCAATTACCTGATGACTTTCCAAACATACCCTTATCGTTAAAAGATTATGAACGCGAAAAATATATGGAATCAAATATGTAATCCATATATGTGATACCAACTACTTAAATTGAGATAGTGTTGTAGTTATACTTACATTAAATTCAATTAGATATAAGTACTATGAGATTTAGAGAATCTCTAGCTTTATAGATCTTCTCATTAGTCTTAAAAGTCAAACGATTACCCTTACTGAATTAAATTGGCCCGACTATAATACAATAAAATATAATATGCGAAATCGATATTCTATATATAGCCGCCTTTTAAAATAATAACAAAAAAAATATATTTTTTGTATATTAATATATAATATGCATATTTTATACATAATAAGTATATATTTTTTATAATTATTTTCGGTCTACTGGCCAAATGTACTAAAAGCCCAATAAATATAAAGAATTCGCATAACAAAGTCCAAACAGTTTTGAAATGAGAATGGAAAAATGAAAATGCAAAGGAATTAGGGAGTTTTGACATGAAGAGGTAAAACATGGGGTCGACAATGGACAATTTTCTGAGTGTCAAAAATAATAATGGCCAGAGGAAGGTATGACAAAAATATTTGCTAGGACCGACAATGTATTGCAGCTACCAAACCGCAGAGAATTGCCCCTTTAAACACTTTGATTTGGAATTATGAACATTAAAGAAAAGCACCTCTCTTCTGTGAAAAGAGTAATTTTTGTACCAACCTTCAGTAGCATAGAATCTTTAAATCATTACCACACATGTCCCCACTAAGCAATGAACACATTTTACACAAACACCATGTATTATTGCAGGAAGGAAGAAAAGAGAAAGACGAACAAAAATCTGGGAGAGAATAATTTTCCATGATTATTACATCAACTATGGGTGCAAAGACAAAGTGTATCAATTTTAGTCCCCTACTCGTACCAATGAGTTTTTCAGTTGTTGAATAATTAGTTAATCCTCTACGTCTCAATCCTAAATTAGTTGAATCGATTATATGAATATATAGTGTATGTCAGTTTCATCTATTAACAAATTTTGTATTCATGTAATTCATCGTAGCTAGATCCAGTATTTTCTTAGTTAATCCTCTCTGTCACAAATCCTAAATTAGTTTGTGTATTTACTAATCATTAATGTGTATCTCTATTCTCTACCATTGATAATTGTTGGCTGATCAAAGCAAATGTTAGCTGGACTTTCTCAAAAATAGAACCAACACCTGCACTATCTGAGTCCAACGTTATCAATAGAATACTTATTTTGGTGGGTAATTGTCTCCTATGAGGAAAGTAACAAAATTTTATTCATGTGAGTCCAAAATTAGAGAGAAAATTGGAGATTGCATCCTCTTGACTGACTATACTATCGCTGCAGCGCAGAACATGAGGAATGTGTCATGTAGCAAAATACTTTAAAACAAAGAAAATAAACGAAAGATTTTCTGCAGCCCTCCTTTTATGATGGGGAAATGAGGTGTGGGTTGGGGCGAAATGGGGGACAGAAACACACAGCATCAAAGCATAAACATGAGAGAAAGCGTGATGCTTCGTTAATGAACTACGTACTCCAATCAATTGGCTGCTTGCTTAAATAATACTCAACAGGCATGCATCAATAGATACAAGACTATAATTCAAAGTCCTCTCAAGGTAAAAAAGTAAGATCCCAAGAGTTACGGAAGATCAAAGCCAATCGAAGGTGATATGTCTAATAGGGACAGGGACAGCTTTAACACAATTGTTATCTCACCTCAAGCAAATCTCCAGAAAAGAGGCATTATTCATACAGTATACTATAGCATGGCTGAGGATCCGAATTATCTATGTTACACTTCTCAGGTGCTATTGCATATGTCCCTAAACTATTCATTGTGAAATTGGTCATGTCATAAAATTTCTTGCAAATCGTCCACGATGTTTCTCAAATCTCAAATCAAAATGATGGTGAATGTCATTTCTATTTCCAAAACTTGCCAAGTGCTAGGGATGATATTCTTTTATTTCAGAAAACAATAACTGTTGCTTGAGAAAAACAAAAAAAAAAAACTTTCTCGGTTCTCAATTCAGCCCATTTGTTTCCACACAGTCTTCTGATTTCCTTATTTAGTTAATTTTTTTACTTCGAAATTTGTTACATAAGAGCCAACATGACACCATCATTAACCAAATTTTTGCTGCCGATTAAAGGACCATTTAAAATAAGATGAATGGGACATAATAACTAAATATGAAGATTGATTAACGATTTACTCAAACCAAACCATCTCTTCATTTCCTATTTGAAAAGTGTCTATTTTCCTTTTTCAAAAGATATAAGAAACGTTTTGTTTTTGCTGACTGAATTTTTTTCCATCCTTCTCTGCCCGGATTCCTGCAGTGCAAGAAGACCGTAGGCTATCTTCTTCATATCTTGCAAGGACAAAAACTATTGCATCTTATCGAAAACCCAAAAACTTGGCTGAAACTTTGCTGGAGTCATTCTTTTTCCAGAGAAACAGAAGATTCACGACGCCCAACTATTTCTTTGAATGTTGGGGTTAAGTTTGGATAGTCGGGGGGAAAGACAAGAGTCCCTCGTTAAGGAGTACAAGTGTAGCAACCAAGCACCTTAACTGTTGAGTTTCATGAGTGTTTCCCTAACAGAAAAGACAGTCCAAGTGCCAGTAATACTTGTATACCACTAGCTCCTCTGGCACTCGTACTGTGAATAGAGTAAAACAACAGTTTCAAGCTTCACAAACTACAGTCAGTGCATAGGAAAAGATCCTAGAGAACATATCGTACAAATACCCAAAGTACTTAATCTGAAAGAGAATCAGCAGATTCTCATAATGCTACCATCTTGTACTAGGATTTGTTAAAAACATACTTATCTGGAACTGGACTTTGAAGTTTTACATTCTCCCCAACTTACTACTAGGCATGATCGCTAGAAATTGGAAGACTTGTGAAGCAAAAAAAAAAAAAAAGGCAATGTTGAGATTTTATCTTACACTGCCGAGTTCGCCAAACGTACCAATAACCTTAACTATGCTGCCACATCTACACCAAGAGCAGAGTCTACTAAGGAGCCAAAATTGCCGGTCTGCATCACAAATCAAATAGGAATCAATGCTTTTCTGCATCAAAATATTGTTAAAAAAATACAAAATTATGTTAAATACCTGAAAGCAAGAGAACTTGGGTCCTGACAAACGGGCCAGCTTGTGCACACCTCGACTATTCCACTAGGTACGTGCTTGTACCTGCTCTCTCACCAGCACCGGTCTCCTCACATTTTTGTCACCTCATAACCAACCGACATTGTCACATCCTATGGACTTTGGAGCTATTTGTTAACTCTTCACCATCCAACTTGCTTAGTATTATGAGATACTTGTTGTTGTTGCTGCTGTTAACTTTTTACCATATACAAGATATACATCCATGTTGGTGCTCCCGTAATTAAGTGTACACCATACACAAGATATCCTTCCCCACATATGAGATGGCCATCCATGTCATTGCTATAGCTGTCATTACTTGTGTTGTTAACTCTTCACCAAATACAAGATGTCCATCCAGGTAGTTGTAATATGTGAGCCATTACTTACCCATCTAGTGTCTTGAGCTGATGCTCAGCATTCATGACATTTCTTTGAGTAATTCAACTCTCACCCATATAACAAGACATCCATCCTATTGTATAAGTGTAATCCAAGCTTTACTCAGCCGATCTATTACCTCTGAGATATTTAGATCATGATACTGTATGAAGTGACCTTATAACTTGATAACTGTTACGATATCCATCCAGGTCATAATACAACCATTACTCACCCAGTCTAATTCTCTTCAGCTGATCTGCAGCAATCATGACACTGTATTAAGTTGATTCAACTCTCAACCATATCCAATATATCCATCCAGGTAGTTGCATAATTGTAAAATGTGAACCTTGCTAACGTGATCTATTATCCAGAGCTGATTTTCAGCAATCTCTGACACTGTATGAAGTGACCTCATAATTTGATAACTGTTGAGATATCCATTCAGGTAACAATATAATGCTAGCCATTACTTACCCAGTCTAATTCTCTTTAGCTGATTTTCAGGATCATGACACTGTATAAAGTGACTTAACTCTTTCAGCCACTACTCAAGATATCCGTCCAGGTAATTGTATAATTGTAAATTGACCTTATTACTCACTCCATCTGTTATCTTGAGCTGATCTTCAGCAATCATGAAACTGTATGAATTGACCTCGTAATTTGATAACTGTTTAAGATGTCTGTCCAGGTAACGTGAGCCACTATTCATGCAATATAATACTATTGAGCCAATTTCCATGGTTCATGACACAGTATTAGGTAACATAACTCTTCACCCATAAACAAGATATCCTTCCAGGCAATTGTATACTTGAAAGTTGAAAGGTGAGCCTCATTACTCAACCCATCTACTCTCTTGAGCTGATTTTCAGAAATCATGCCGTTGAAGTGACCTAATAGTTTGGTAACTGTCAAGATATCCATCCAGACAACAAAATAATGTGAACAATTACTCATCCAATTCTCTTGAGCTGATTTTTAAAAATGATGCCTCTGTAGGAGGTGACCTCACAGTTTTGATAACTACCACTCTTTCATTGACCTATTATAATTTCAATTTCTATTGCTCTGAAAAGTGACCTGAATACCATTATTGTCGCCTTTAGTGATATAATCCGGCTTAAACTTGATGCTATACTGATTTCCAAAAATAGGTTGCTCGGGATCTTATCGATTTTACTTGCTTGGGATTCTTATCGATTTTACTTGCTTGGATTGTTATTGGTTGTACTTGCTTGGGATTGCTGTTGAACTTTTGGGATTGTTGCTGTTATCTTCTTTTAGTTAATGCCGGAAAGCGGGCATAGAAGGTCATCCAACTCTATAAAATCTCCTTCTAAAATCGCCGTCAGTTCCTGAGCAGAAAAACCATTGAGAACTGGAGGTCCGCCACTCTCAAGATCAATCTGCTGCATGAATCAAAAAGGGAAAATGACATTGTATAGCAGCTCTCAAAATAATAGCCAACAGAATGTATATTTTTTTGTATATATATACATTTTGTATGTTATATACAGAAATTATACAAGTTTTATACACTTTTTCGGCTACCAAATGTAAAATAGTTTCTGGCGCGGGCTAAAAGTGAAAAAAGCCCAATCAAAAACCCACATTAGGCAGGCCCATTTATATTGAAAAAGAATAGGAAAAGGACAATCACCACTTACTTAACAAGCTAACACAATTGAAGTTTGAAGGATGAAAAGTTTTCAATTAGCTAATAAAGAAGGTACACTGAAGGTAGACCTCTTAAGCCTACATTATAAGAACCTAAATGCAGAAACATTAACTCAGATTCCATTCCTAACAAAAGATATGGAAAACAGAAGAAGAAAACATTCATTAATAGAGGCAGCAATTCAAACATTTTACTCCAGCCCCAAATTCTCCAAGAGGTTTCTTGTTTTCAAATGTTAACAAAATGAGTAGGTAAATTCTAAAGATAAAATGCATATTTTGTGCGTGTCAACTATTTGATGAGCATACATATTAGTCAGTGATGATTTCTGAACCAGCAACAAACAAGAGAAGCAATTCAGCATGAAAGCTTGGCATAGTGAATGAAGCAAAAGGTAACTAAGCACCTTTAAAATACTAATCAGAAAAAGCTTTCTTTTCGGTATACCTGCTTGGCAACAGGTTCTATAAGAGCTTGACTATCATTCTCCAGGTCAACGGTATTTTCATCATGCATTTTAGACTCAGTAACCGATACAGCAGTTCCGTCACATTGAATACCTACATGACGTACTGCCGCCAAAGTTTCTTCACCATAGGAACTAAATACATGCTCTGACAAGTTATTTCGATAATGAGATTTGATAAATACTCGGCATAGAACAAAAGATGCCTGCACACAAGTAGAAGCTGGAGACATGTTACATGTAGCAAATATCTTATACGCAGCAGGATACAGACATCTGCATATAAGCAGAACCACATGATATTTTTGATGACCGTAGAACCATGAAATATGTAGCAACAATGGTAAACACAGTGAAAATGTGGAAAACTGCAACAACACGAAAAACGCTCTAACTCTGAGTACCATGATTTGGTGAATTTCTACCTCAAACTTCTTAATATGTAGATTAAGCACAGCCACAGACTAAATGCAGAGAGAGATATGAGAGGTACCAACATAAAAGGCAGAATTTATGGTTAAACTCGGATGTGTCACTTTAATAATCTTTCTTAAATGAAAAAAAAAAAATCATCAAGACTTCAGAACAATAACACAAACCCAAAAGTGGAAGCTAAATAAGAAGCCGCTGACACTCAATGATCTGTTTCAGCAATCACAATCAAAATTATATCAAATGAAAGCATACGCCCTAATTCCAGAATCACCAACCCTCATCCCTACGCGCCCTTATTAATATGGTGCTTAATTCAGTTAAAAAATCATATAACACACAAGTATATCTGACTCGCCTACTCCATTTGAGATGCAGAGGAAACTGTTATATCTTACAATGTTTTTCTTTAACATAACTAATAATGGGTGACAATATACCTAACAAAACAAGCACATCCTGAATACCAAGCTAATTACATAACCTGCGTGTAAAATCAGAGTGGTTTTTAGCACTCCAAGAAGGGAAATAAGCAACACTTGCCAAAGTCAGCTTGAACACAATGTGCACTAAAAAAACAAGCATTTGACACTGTATTCAAGTAAAGACCAATTCCACAGCAAATTAAAAGAAACCCAACTCAGAATTGATTCAATAAAAAAATTCAAACCCCTATATAGCACCATTGAAGACAGTGGCAGATCCAAGATTTGGAACTTTATGGTTTCGGTGAACCCACTGACCATTTAAATTACTGGGTTAGAAATCTAATATAGGGTTTGAACCAAAGCTACTAGGTTCTACTAAACACATAGCTAAAACTGTACATCGGCCCCTAACTGAGGATATAACCAAAGACCCACATAATGCATGTATACATAAGCGTATATATATAACACTTCATGTACGAATACGAAAAAATGATATAACAAAGATTGTAGAGCAGAATGTACCATAGGATTTCCAGTTAAAGCGTACTCATACATCAACAAATCAGTCTTCACAGCAGTCTTAATACAATCGCCTAAATAAAAAACAAAACTTTTTCGCGTACCGACCACAACTTTCCCTGCACCCTCACCCATCACATCCCTAATTCTACCTCTCTTCTTCCAGTACCCACCCCCAGCTCTCCTCCGCCCTCCTTTTAAAACCCTAGCCACAAAACAAAACCAGTGCCTTTTAAGGCTGCCGCGTCCATATTTGAAACAGGCGGAATCGGGTAAGTTAAACGGGTCAAAATTGTAGAGATCAATTTCACGAATTAGGTTAAACTGAAAGTCGTTCCGATGATCGGCGCTGTTTTTTGAGGATAAATAGTAGCAAATGAGTTGTTTGTCGGAGGGGTAAAATCGGGTACCGGGAGGAAGTGAAAACGACATCGGATTAGGATCTCCCATAATTGGGAGAGAGTAAGATTATGCTGAGTGTTCGATTAGGAGCAGTACAGGTGGTGGGGTTTATATAAGAGACGAAGCGTGGCTGTGAAGTTTCTTCAGGGATTTCTAGTGTCACCCTGCTGTGTACGTACTCCGCTTACTAATCTCACGTGTTTGGCTCAAATTAGTTTTTATTTTAATTTCCGAGACTAAATTAGTTAAAAAAAGACAACACGCATTCCGCTTTCGCGTGTGGTGTGATGTAGACTGTCTCTCATAATATAGAGCCACGTGTGTTATAGACAATCTACTCTAATATAAATATTAATGACTATTTTTACAATTCGAATCCCGTATAAATCAAACAAAGACCCAAGCTTCCCTCCTGAAACTCAAATTAGTATTTCTATAATTATTACGTTCATTTATAGGGGTTTTAGCCATTGTAATTTTCTCAATTCAGGTAAGGTAATGCTCCTAGTATTACCACGGCATGTCTATGATTTTTGTAGCGAGTGCTAAAATTAGAAACTTCCATTGTTTAAATTGTTTTATCAAGGCACATTAGCGGTTAACACAATATATTAGTGAGACAAATTGGAAATTTTCGTTTTAAAGAAAGAAAAATTGTTAAATACAAGGTCAATTACACATTGAATGAGAGTGATAGTTCTTTATTGTTTCGCCTTTCTCTTTTCAATCTATATCCAACTTTATATTAATTGTCAGTCAATTAGTACAATATTAATGTCTTTTACTACTGATACTGATGGTATGTCAAATAGTTAAGGAACTTGTGTTACTGTGTCAATTAAGCTCTCGTTTGGACATACAATTTTTTTTTTCTAATAGTTTAATTCAAGCTCCAAAAACTAGTTTGGGCCAATTTTTGGGTGAAACCTTTTCTTTCACTCACAAAATTTTAACTTTTTTTTCAAGTAAAATGCATGTCCAAACATAATTTAATTTTCAAAATTATTTTTGATACAATTTTAATATTTTTTTAAAATTTTCAATCAAATTTATATGAAAACGCTAGATAAGTAGTTGTTGGGCTATTTGAAGTCCAGGCTATTCAAAGCGATTAGTTTGAGAAGGTGAGTCTATCCCCTATATGTAGAATGTATAATCAATTTTTCGGTATTAACTTTTTAAGTTTAGCTTTGATAAAAATTAAGGGTTAATCAAACAGTATAGAGAATCAGGTTTTCTATCAGTTTCCTCAGTAAACAAGCAGTAAGTAAATAACACGTGATATTAACGTGGAAAACTCTCTGCTCGAGAGATTAAAAACCATGACCTACCCTAGTAGGATTTCAACTCCACTAAACTGAGTAAACTTCATATTACAACCTATTTCAATCTAGAAATTAAACTCTTAATCCCTTACCTCTCACAATAACTCTATTGTAAGCCATTTGTAATAACTCTGTTACAAAGTAACGCTTTTGACTAACACTAGCCAAACAACCAAAGTAATAATGGTTAAGTGATGTCCTACAAAATACTTCTAGAAAGCCGTGTAGGTTTACAAGTAAAGAACAAAAGACAAAGACTAAACAAACATAAGGATTCAAGAGACATCTTTAATATTGGGATCTCGTCCTTAGTTTGTATCGGCGTTGTTCTTGAGTGCACCTGAGGAAAACAGTTGCGGCTGGCACTTGATTGTCACGACCCAAAATTCCACCACAGGCCTCGTGATGGCACCTAGTCTCTAAGACTAGGTAAGCCGATTTCAATTACAGTTTTGAAGCCATTTTAAAAAAAAAATTAAATAGGTAATCAAAACTAACATCGAAACAAATATGAATATACAACATCCCAAGATTGGTAGTACTGAGTCACGAACTCTAACTGAATATATGGGATGATCACGCGAACCGAATATACAATATTGTTTGATTAAAAATTAACAGTACAATGAAAGAAAAAGACTCCAAGGGACTGCATCGACCAAGCAGCTCTACCTTGAATCCTTACGTTTCCGCTTTAACTCTACTCAAGTTCGATATCTCCAATACCTAGCTCTGTACAAAAAAATGTGTAGAAGTGTAGTATGAGTACACCATGGTCGGTACCCAGTAAGTATCAAGACAAACCTCAATGGAGTAGAGACGAGGTACAGTCAAGACACTCACTAGTCTAATAGCATGTGCAATATAATATACAAAATAATAGAAAACAATTAACAATAAGGGCAACATAAAACAACCAGTGATATGCACATCAGACAACAAGAACACCATTAATATCGCTCAACAATTAATAAATACAGTTACACCCAATTAATTCAAGTTTTTCAAATAAATATCTTTTACATATAATTCTTCCAAATAACTCTCTTTCAAATATAATTTCTTTAAATAAATATCTTTCAAATATACTTCCTTTAAATAAATCTCTCTCAATTATAATTTCTTTAAATAAATATCTTTCAAATATACTTCCTTTAAATAAATCTCTCTCAATTATAATTTCTCTAAATAAATATCTTTCGAATGCAATCCTTTCCAATAAATCTCTCTCAATTATAATTTCTTTAAATAAATATATTTCAAATATAATCATTTCCAATAAATAAGTCACCATGTGACACTTCATTTCATAATCATTCAACCACGGGTCTCAGCCCATTTTCATATTTTTTTTTCATAAACACGGGTCTCAACTCTCTTTCATATTTTCACGGCATTTCGTACCTATAGTTAAATCATCATATTTTTCCGGCACCTCGTGCCCTCATTTCATATCACAACTGCACGGACAATTCACGTGCCAATATCATCATTATTTACTTCCGCACCTCGTGCCCACATTTCATATCATAATCCGTCTGGCAATGGCCACAGACCCCAATCTTAACATAAATCAAACTATTACCAATTTACCAACAACAAGACCAATGGCATAAGATATAAAAATAAATACAAGAAAAATCACAATATCACATAATAATCACCAACGCAACAACTCCACATCAGCACATATCACACTGACAATAGCCACCATTATCCTTCATATAGCCACCCTTATCCCTCCGCCCTGACAATATCAATAGCCACCCTTATCGCTCCTATAGCCACTCTTATCTCTCCTATAACCACCATTATCGCTCCTATAGCCGCCCTTATCGCTCCTATAGCCACCCTTATCACTCTGTCCCGACAATATCCCAACACACATAACAACAATGAAATGCCACCCTTATAACCACATAATATCAACAATGGAATGCCACCCTTATATCCTCAAAATAACAACTCACACAACACAATAATTTACACGAAAAATTATCACGACAACATAACAAAAATCAATTCACATTACAGTTTGCCCAATGGCCATAACAAATTCCAAGGATATAATACAATCAATTAATTTCACAACAAATAGCCCAAGACTCCACACAATATATGTAAAACCTCAAAAACAATCAACAGAGATAGAAAAATAATCAACATAGGGCACACCTTCCTTAATCCAAATTTAGATAATTATATTAACACCTCTTCTTAAGCTCATTTAATTAATTATTTGTAAAGGGAAAAATTCATAATGAAATTAGATCCCACGAATATCAAACCATCAAACTCACGGAATTCACAAAAATATACAGATAACATGCACATCAAATCGTCATATAAAAATAAATTCAATAAATGCGAATTGAAGCATGGCAAATATATGACTAAATAAATGCCAATATTTATTTAATTTACTACACAATATGCTCAAGATTTAACTCAATAAAATTTACACATATAAGCCGAGTACGTACTCGTCACCTCGCGTACATGGCTTTTCACATTTTACAAATGGCACATAAGACTTGATGCCTAAGGGGTAATTCCCCTACTCGAGGTTAAGCAAGACACTTACCTTTTTGAAGTTATGCCGATATTCCAAAATAGTCGTTTTGCTTGAATAAATCCTCCGGACAGCTCAAATCTATTCAAATTAAATTCAATTCAGTAAATACTAATTATAGGAATAAATTCCATATGTAAATAGTAATTTTTCAACAAAATCCGAAATTTAACTCAAAAATTGTCCGTGGGGCTCATGTCTTGGAACCCGATAAAAGTTATAAAATCTGAAAGTCCATTCAATCACGAGTCTAACCATACCAATTTTACCAAAATCTGACCTCAACTCGACCTCCAAATCTTCAAATCTTATTTTCAAATCCCTAAGTTCAAACCCCCGATTTACACCTCAAAACACATGTAATCTTGTAGGATTATTCGATGATAATTCAATATTATGGAGTAGAAATGATCACAAGGGACTTACCTCAAGTTTTTCCGTGAAAACTTTGCTCAAATATTGCCCAACCCGAGCTTGAAATTCCCCAAAATGGCAAAAGTTCGGAACCCCTCTGTTTTTGTACTGCCCGGGGGTTTTCGCACCCGCAGTGATTTCTTCGCATATGCGGTCTTCGCACCCGCGGCAAACCTCTCGCGCCTGCGATGTCCGCACCCGTAGTGATTTCTTCTCACCTGCGGTCTTCGCACCCGCAGCAAAACTCTCGCGCCTGCGATGTCCGCACCCGCGGTGATTTCTTCGCGCCTGCGGTCTTCGCACCCGCGACAAAACTCTAGCGCCTGCGATGTCCGCACCCGCGGTGATTTCTTCGCGCCTGCGATCTTTGCACCTGCAACAAAAGTTTTCGCACCCGCGGTGCCTGGCCAACCCATGCATTTTCGCTTCTGCGACTAATGCCTCGCATCCGCGAGCTCGCACCTGCGGCCCTTTTTCACGCAGATGCGATCATACCAGATGCCCAGCTGCTTCAGCTCCTCCTCCAAATCCAAATTCGATCCGTTAAGCATCCAAACTCACTCGAGGCTCCTCGAGACCCCAACAAAATACACCAAAAAGTCCTAAAATATTATACGAACTTAGTCGAGCCTTCAAATCACATCAAACAACGCTAAAAACACGAATATACCCCAATTCAAGCCTAATGAACTTTGAAACCTCTAATTTCTACAAACGACGCCAGAACCTATAAAATCAAGTCCGATTGAACTCAAATTTTGCACACAAGTCATAAATGACATAACGGAGGTAATAAAATTTTCAG